TACTATGGATGTGTGTAAAGAACTTGATGATTCATTATTTCCATCATATTCCCAGCAATTGGTACTCTTTGCATCAACATATATAAGTGAAAAGGTTATAAATTGTTATGAGGAGGAAAAAAGGGACCAGATGTATAGTTTTTTATTAGCAAGCAAAGATCAGATGGGATATGAAACTTTGCAAGGAAAAATATTTGAGGTAGTTGCACATAGAATTTTGTGAACTGGTGGAAACTTTTAACACATTGTCTGGAAAATGAAAATGATGAAATAAAAATAGAGAAGTTCCCTAGACTTGAAAATAAAACCTTCCAATCAATAGATAATATTAATACACATAATGAATATTATCAACCACAACAAAAAAATTTCTCCTCGGTGGATTCATTGGTTTTACCAAATATGCTGTTTCAGATGACTATTAATCAGCACCATGGTATCAAGGTCAAGGGATTAGATGATCTTAAAAATATACTTGATATCACAAAGGAAATCAAATTTTACTTTGTTATGCCACCAGGATGTTTTGATGGAATGAAAAAGCAACCATTTCATGCCAGAAAAGGGGAAGATTAAAAAAAACTACCATCCTGGATTAAGAATAAAGTAAAACAATATGTTTTCAAGGTTAACTTGGCATATAATTATAAATCTTAAAATCAGTGGTATGTAATAATAGATAAAATGGATAGACTATGTTGTTTGGAAGAAAATTCTTTTAGTTATTATAAAGATGCAATTCTTTTTTAATTCTATCAAAAAACCCTTTTTATTATCTATCGTAAAATTGCTGCACTTTATTTTTTTTCTAAGATTATCTCTGAATAAAGCATTTATGTAACTGTTTTTCAACAATAATATATAAATATGTGATTTTTAAAAATTTTTCTAGCAGATTATTTAATAAAAAACCTACAAAGTGAACATAAAATTATATATAATTGCAAACGTTGAATTTCTAATATGCTTATATTGTATGTGAAAATGAAATTATGTGAATTCGCAATTCACGTATGTGAAATTCAAATTAGCCAATCAGAATTTCATATCCAAACACCCCACCCAAAATTTTAATTATAAATTTCAGGTTTAATATTAAATTGATAAAATTTTTTAAAGCAATGTTAATTTTAAAAGCTGCGATTCATTTTGTTTTGTGGGCAGTGTCAAAACATAGAAAATTTTGTCAATAGTCACACAGGTATCGAAAATGAGATATATAGTAATTGTTGAAAAAGATTATGATGATGATTTATATCCTCGCCATAAAAACATGAATTATTTAGAATTTTTTTTTATTTTTAATAAATAATAGTAATTAATTTTCATTGTACATTTGATTTCATTGGTTAAGATTTTTGTTAATCATTCTATATATAATTGAAATATTATGGAGTGGGGGGAAATTCTGATTGGCTAATTTGA